GGGGGAGAGGCTAAGCATAACTCTTCTCATCAAAGGGAACACCAAGGAACAATTATGGAAAGCACTTATGAAAGAGATACTTCCACCATGTGGGAAGACCTGGGCATTAAGTTTTGGGTGTATTTCAATACCATTGGCAGGATCATCGCAAAAGGCATCAATACAACAAGGAATAACGAATACGAAGAACTCTCCATTGGTTGGACGAGTTCTTGGGAACAAAATGCCCATTTCCATTCACATTCCCGATTTTATTACGCTCACACATTTATACATTTATGACACGAAATAATTTTCTAGGAAAATACTTACAAAACCGGCTTTTCGGTTTTTTCTTTCCCAGGTTCTTGATTTTCGGGATTTCGAGAAGATTCCCCAGACCTTCACTATGGGATGTGGACTTTTCCAACCAGGGACATTTTTCTTCGCTAAGTTCCTGTTCATTTGAAGGGAGGGATGGGTAATGTTCATGTTTGAATGGCTTCCAAATTAAGGGAGCTCATTTTTGATCAAGGACTTTACTTGAGTTATCACCCACCTTCTGACAATCCACGGCCCAGTTGTGGACGTCTGTGGGGCATCCAGATAACCAGCATCGGCAGCCAATTTGGTCATGATGTCAGCCGGTAATTGGAACAATCTGTAGTAACATTTTGGTGAGCAGTGATGCGTAGTCGATGCATGTCTATGCTGCCTAAGGTGAATTTCATAGAAAAAGACCTGTAGAAATCTTCAGGATCCTTCTGTCCCTCGATTGAGTTGTTCTGCTGTGCCATAGGCAACTTTGCCACGGCTTCAATAGTACCCTGCAAGGAACCGAAGCATGTGATGCATCGGACAAAGCCAACCAAGGTAATCTACAGCCACTGCAGCAGCAGGCCATGCAAAAAGGCTGAAGCCGAGGTAGAATGTTAGAAGCGAGGCGGCCAAGTGGATAAGACTGGTGCAGCAATCACTAAACTGGGGGTGAGCACACACCGCACGCCATTACCGGTTGTTTATATCCTCTATACAAAAGCGAAACATCGGCATCTGGTGAGAATAGGACTGGCAAATCCGGACGACCCTAGCAGGCAAATAAGCTCAGATGAAAAGTGTCATTGGTGAGAAAATGAGGGACTGAAAAAGCCGTGGGAAAGCGCACCTTGACAATTTGTTTCACGTCCAGAAAGTGTTCCTCTTCGGCTGAGATCGCCACTGCGAGGACGACCAGCCTCCACCACCACATCCTGGAATGGAGTACATTTCAGAGCGAAGGCCAGTAAGCCATAAAGCTACATTAAACTTGTGCGGACTGTAGAAAATGAGCGATAACGCCAAAAGCAGAGCTATTGCTGACCAAAACCTTCGTGAATACTCAGTTGCAATTGCAGTTTCTTGGAACGATGATGGTCCCCAAGACGTCCGCTAATTTTTCCGGGCCAGCCAACGGAGTAACGAAATACCCAGGCAATAAATATTGAGATGGTCGACGCGTATCAGGTCAGGAAGAAGAACTATTCATAAAGTGAGTAAAAGGGTTCGAAGAGATTTCAAGTCTGTAAAAAATCTATTTTTCAAGTTTTCCTTAACCGTAAAGTGAAATGGGAGAAGAACGAAAATATGGTTCACCCAATTACCTTTTCAAATTGAGGACGCATCTTCCTCGTGTGGTCACAAAAAACACTCGCACCACCGCACCATTACAAACATAATTAACTTCCCCCACCCGTTCGATCACTCTCAGCTGACCACGTTCTCCCTTCTCAGTCACATTGCTGGGCGAAAATGGATTAGCCATTCACTTGTGATCTGGACATCCGAATCCGACGAAAATACGAACACACATTTTTCTGATTACACAGAAAGAAGAGGAAGTGCAGATTTTGCGTCGGAAAGGAAAAGCGATGACAATCTCAGGCTATGAAAAAAATAACTATAATCGTCTCCAGGGCTAGTTCTACTGGTAATTTTACTAGTCAAACTAGGATACCGTAATGTTACGATAATGTTACGATGACAGGAGTAGAATCAAACTCAGACTGAGCAGATTTTACTTTACTGCTTCTCACTCAACTAGCTTCCCTAAAGTGAAGAGGGAATGAGCCTGGCAACCCCTGCAGGGATTGAGGCACATAATAGGAGATCAGAACAATACCTAAAGAGGCCCACCTCTCCAAAACATCACTCTTCTAATCGGAGGGCTACGATCCATAAAAGGTTTACGAACTGGCAGCTCGCGCAGGGTCTCCTCGCGTTTGTGCCCAGATGATAGATGGATTCGGACGGATGCTGAATTCACCGTGGCTTACCACCTTTCTAATCATGAGCATGCATTGACCTCACATTTCACCTAAATGGCTTGGCCTGAAAACTGACGGGCCTGATTGCGAAACCGTATTTGGTAGTAATTCGTCACGGATCTTACTGCATGTAGTGGTCTCGAAACTGCGTCAAAGACAAAAAAGTGAGAGGGATAAATTCATCCACTGTTCCACCAAGCTTTTTCGTTATCATGCAGTTGCTTTTTGAGAATTTTCAAAGGTCTTGTTGCCTTCGAAAAGCTTTTGGAAAAACCTAGAAAGCAGGCTCTACCCGCAGAAAAACTGCTCAAATATCCTTTGAGGTGGCTAATCGTCACTAGAAAGTAGTTAAAAATATATAAGTTACTTTTTTGAACAACCAGTCCAACTCATATTGCTTCAGTGTTTTAGAGACTGTTTACTAGCCAAATTATTTTTGTATTTACACATAAAATTCAGATTGTATGACATGACTGACTGTTTTTGTTCGAATTGAGTTACAAAGTGGTTGGCTTTTTTTTGCGTCTGCCTTCTGCAGTCATTGAAATACTCATGACTAGTTAGAGAGTAATCTATGAATTCGGTTACAAGACTCGATCCTTTTACTGGGCGTAGAAGTCACTGTAGAATGGTGAGCGGAACTGTAACCAAAGTCATAGCCTTCGTAATAATGGAAAGCTATTAGAAAGGAGTACCCGTAAAGAGGAGACATCACAAATTCCTTACAGATATTTCGTATCGAAGTCTCCACTAATGGGATAGTCATCAACGGAACCACCGAAAACGTGTGGCCTGTCATATAGTTGGAGAATTGTTATAATGTGACACTTAACTAGTTGTTTTGTATTGAAAACATTTGGACGGGATGACATAAAAGAAATAGCTTGGCTCGGGACGGGAGCCTTTCAAGAAAGTGCATCATAAACTAGGAAAAAATTGTTTAGAGACAAAATATCCAAGTCATTTGAGCTTTATTTTGAACATAAGTAGGACGACACAGAAGACTCTGCGTTCAATAGAAAGCGAGCAGCGATAAAGGATAACTAGATAAGTTGGAGGATAAATGATGAAGCCCTGAGCAACAACTGAGTGTGCATGGTGCGGATGTGAAGCGGGTAAGTTGGGTAAAGGGGAGGAGATAATGGACAATGGGTCGACGATAGGGCAGAGAGACGCCCCCATGAACGGGTTCTTCCACTACCGCTAGCTGCAACCCGCGCGACAACCATCTCGACCTCTTCTCAACAAACATGCTCCGATTTGTCGTCGTAGCCGTGGTATCAACGGGGACGGCCAATAAGCATTGGGTGCTGGCACAATGGTCGATGGTCCCAAGGAGTAAATGCTCCTGAGAATTGAATCGAACTCATGCTCACTTATTCGATCAGGGATTTTTTCGTTTCCCTACCTACCTTATACAATTCACCCTGAGAAGCTCAAAAAAATTCGAAAAAATTAGTAAGGGCGGCAGTTGAATCGCCTCAAAAAAAGCACTTTCCCGAGGCAACCAAGGAGTAATGGTAACGAGCATAGCTCCATTAGCAGCAATTGAAGGTCATCCGCACATTGCTTTCACCTGATCTGCACTTTTCACAGATAACCTCATTAGATGAAATGAACGTGGTCACTGGTGTTTTGAAGCCAAGCAGTGGACTTGTGTGGAATGAAAAAGGCCGAAACTTCATCGAGAGCGTAAGAGAAAACACGCTCTGTTGTGTTTAACGATAGAGACGAAGACGGTTGACGGAACGATATCCGTTCCGACAGTCAGTGAAAACACGAAGTTGATTCTCTCCCTCTGAGGTCGCGAACACGCTCATTGAGTCCTCGACCGCCGCGAACTGAGAGCCTTTTTAGTTCCATAATCAAAGACCACCCGTACGATGAGTCATTCGAAAGGTTTCCTTCGATTTCTTCCAAATTTGCAGTAGTTGAAGGATAAAGGGCAGGGTTTTTGGCATTGACTAATCCCGTCCGAGGGATGCGCCCCTGCACTGGTCTTCCATTCATAATCGTAGTGGCGTAATGAGTGCGTATGTTGCCTATACAATGACTTGCAGTGGCCAGCTGATGTGCAAGTCAGCGCTTCTATCCTCCCAGACGAGCCTGGTACCAATTGACTGACCCTGGAGGGATGGAAGGCTTTGTTGACCTAGGCGGATACCGATCCGGGATTCAAACCCGTGACCGTGAGTTAGTTTGCCACTTGCCACTACACCACCTCTGCCTTTCTGATGGAAGTTATTTTTTTCCCTTTGACTTCCGTCACAAGTTTTCACCAGCCTCTAGGCAGGGGTCATTGTTTAGCCCTTCAAACGCGGATCCGCATGGAACTTTTGATTATCGATAGCGTTTTCAGTCCGCCAGAAAAAGTGACACCGTTCATTGTTTGAAAATCATATGGACTGAACATATTCAAAAGAGCGATCATCGAATTAATGAAGTGGAAAAGTACAAATTTGGCTTCTCCGTTTGTTAAGCTGCACAATACATTCGCTTAGCTGTCCTCTTCACCCTCCAGAAGTGGTCTTCGTGAGACTCTGACCAGAGCTTCTACCATCACCGTCAAAGAAGAACGGTCTGTAGTCGGATCCCTGCTGATATGAATTGAGTCTTCATATCATTACCTGATAAGAATAAAAGGATAAAGTTGTTGGCGTTAGAATGTCTGAGATATGCTCCCCCGCACTCGACTTCCATTCAGAATCGTAGTGGCGTAATGAGTGCGTATGTGGCCTATACAATGACTTGCGGTGGCCAGCCGATGTACAAATCAGTCATCCTCCCAAACAAGTCTGGTACCAATTCACCGACCCCGGAGAGATGGAAGGGTTGGTTGGACCAGGCGGGCATCGATCCGGGATTTGAACCCTTGACCGTGCGTGTGAGATGTGCGCCACTTGCCCCTACACCACCTCCGTCTTATTATCTGATAATGTCAGAATTAATAGAACGGTGGCAAAAGTATCACGTGCAGTCCAAGACCCAAAGTTCTTTCAAATAGATTTTAAGTGTTTTATAGCGCACAGCGGTATTGGAAGTGTAACCCATTGATAAAAGGAAGATTAGCATCAAACTTCTCTTCACCCCATAATTCTTCAGGAATGTCTTCTCAGAAAGCAGTTGCTCGCTAGGGAGTCGGGTAATTGTCAGACTACACTTTTAAGGTTTCAGATAGGTTGAACCCTGAATGAGAGAAAGGACCAACATAAACAGAGAATCAGGGGGAGGATGCAGACCTTTGATTGGAAAAAAGCCAAATTTCAATTCCTCTGTGCTCTGCAAGCGTCTGGTATGGTGGCGGCCTTCCAATGCTGTCCAGCTGATTGCCCCTCATCGACTAGGTCAGATTTTACTTTTAATTATGACCGAATGCTTGCAAAATCCGAAACCTAACTCAATCGAAGACTGGAAAGCTACTTCCTTCAGATGTGTGTAAGCCAAAAAATCCTTGTGAAAATCGGTTTGCGAAGGATATCGAGAAGAATGCAACATAAATGGAGGGTTGCGATACGATCTCACATGCCGACGAACGTCCGTCTACGTAACCGTTCACGCGTATTACGCTGCTTTCTGTTTTTTCGGCAGCTTCTCCTGGATCGCTCATTGTATTTTCGAAAGGTGAAGCGGGGTGTCAAGAGCTGACTAAGATGGAATGATTTGAAATGAATCGATAGACCGTCTTGAAATGGATCCTCACATGAGCTTTATACCGTCTCATGGGCGAGGTAGGTTTGTGCCAAGTGGAGCGCTACTACGCGTATCGCCCAGGGATCAAATTCCGTATACATGACTGACCAGCTGTTCCGTTCTTCCTTCCCAGATCCATTTCAGAAAAGGGAATGGTCAGTTCCAAAAATCCTTACTGTGTAATCTCCAAGTTCTTAGTCTAGAACAAATTGCAAATGGCTTCGAGTTTTAGAGCTTTTGAATAATCTGAGAACAA